TTGAAGTAAGTCAGACTGCTTGGGGTATTTGTTCAAGGATATTCTTATTAATAGAAGCCCTCCTAACTCTCTCTGGTTCCTGGCTTCCTTGAGGTGACTAACTTTACTCCATGATGCCCTTTAGCCAGGATGAGAAACTACCCTATCCCTGGTGTAAAAGCAATAGAACCAGCTACCCATGGACTGAAATTTTAGGCTACAGTAAGTCCTTCTTATGTTTAGTGACTTTTGTCAAGGATTTTTGTGACTTGACAGGAACAATATATGCATTTATCAACATAAAACCCTTTGTAATTAAAACAATTATGTGATTTTTCTTAAATGTGTTCAAATGTTATTTTCAGTATAAAGGACAATTGAATTGAGATTTCTAATTGATTTTAGTATTTTCTTTTGAGATTGGGACATTTGTGCTGTGGGATAATCCTCCTGTATTCTGTGAATATGTACTCCTCCCCTGGCTTAATAAAGAAGGTGCTTTGGCCTATGGCAACGCAGAAAGCTAGGTGGGAAAGCCAAATGGAATACAAGGATATAGAAGGGCCACGTTGGGGGAAATTCCAGCCTCTAGGGGAAGAAGATGTATTACACCACAGGTAAAGCCACGAGACACATGTCAAAACATAGACTAATAGAAATGGATTGATTTTAAAAAAGTAAGAGCTAGTTAGTAATGAGCCTGAGCTGTTTGGCCAAGAATTTAGTAATTAATATTAAGTCTCTGAGTGACCATTTAAAAGTAGCTGCAGGATGAGGTGAGACAGAGAAACCTCTGTTTACACACTTGCCTTTAGACTAAGAATTTGTTTTTCTAAGTCTTTCTCTTGTGAATAAAAGAAATGGCTACATACAGAGGGACTGAATGAAGATAGGTATCTGAAGTTACACACTGCACCTAAGTATGGAATCATTTATTTTTCTTACCAAATATTTCTCTATTGAGTCCTACTTTGCAATAATGTGGCAAATCAATTTAACTCAATGTCTCAAGCGTGTTTCTGGACACTGATTCTGTCTAACCCCTTATCCTGCCGTCACTAAGCTCCCCAACACACAAAGGCACAGTGTCACCGATAAGCAATTTGACCACAGAATAGAAAGTTTGACCCAAGCAGAAGGGAAATAGTTAACCTGTGCTAAAAGTTAAGCCTCAACAGGAACTTTTGCAAAGTCTTATCACGTGCGTGCCTGGTTGGGTCTGAGGTCAGAGTTCTTCCCCGGAACTCACAGGCCACCTGAACCTAAAATCTCTTATTTGTTGCTAATCAAACTGGTAAAGTAACTGAACATAAGAGCAAGAAGGCAGCAAAATTCTGGTTGTAAGTAGAATGCCCTCAAATTAAATTTGAATTAGGAGGATGGAAACGTTAATAACTTACTTAGAGGCACAGGATTTTATTTATGAGGCTAACATTTTTTTAAGTTTAACTCGTATTCTTATTCCTTGCACATCTTTGTTCCCAGCTACCACTTCCCAATCAACAGAAACTGTTGTTTCTCCAAGGAAGAAGTGAAATCCAACCCGAAGAATAAAGATTAGGATTCCTAGTTCTTCAGTTTCAAATAAGCTTTCAAAATTCATAGCCAAAACAGTTGTGAAATTCTGAGATTTGGCAAAAAGCCTTGATGCCTTTGTTGCGGTCATCTACACGTTGTTCATGGTGTGAAGCTGCTGCTATAAGCAACTTACTTTTTTAAATAATTTTTTATTTAAATTAGAAACAAACTTGTTTTACATATCAGTCCCAGTTCCTGCACCCTCCAATCATCCTCTGCCCCCCCCACCAACCCCCATCCCATCCCCTTTCTGCTCCCCAAGGAGGGTGAGTCTTCAAAGTCTGTCATATCATTTGCTGCAGGGCCCAGGCCCTCCCCCATGTGTCTAGGCTGAGGGAGTATTCCATCCTAGAGCCCTCATCCAGTAGCTGATGGAAACAGACACCCACAGCTAAACATGGAGCTGAACTCCTGGAATCCAGTTGCAGAGAGGGAGGAGTGATGAGCAAAGTGGTCAAGACCAGGCTGGAGAAACCCACAGAGACAGCTGACCTGAACAAGGGGGAGCTTATGGACCTCAGACTGATAACTGGAAAACCAGGATAAGACCTTCCCTGAATGTGGTGTTAGTTGGGAGGACTGGGCAGTCTATGGGGCCTTTGGTAGTGGATCATTATTTATCCCTAGTATACAAATGGACTTTGGGAGCCCATTCCACATACAGGGATAAGCAACTGACTTTTGAAATAAACATGATAAAGCAAGCAGTCTTTCCCTCTCTTCTAAGAGCTAAAGGGGTGAAGGCAAGAAGGGAACAGGGGACAGAAGCAAAGGTTCTCAAGATTAAGTTCCTGTGGGTTAGCCCTGCAGAGATAGGGCAGAGCCAGAGACCTTACGAGAAAGATAAGAAAGTCCAGAACTCTGTCCCTCAGCCATGTGTGGATGCAGCTAGAAGGAGGCTGTCTACAAGTCATAAACGGAGCCTTCACCAGGAACCAATTCATCTCACACTTTTGCTTTCTTGACCCCATATTGTCCTGGGTTTTGATTTTACATCCTAAATGAGTTATTTTATTCTGAAACCAAGACTAATACAAGATCTCATTCTGAGGAAATCACTGAGCTTGGTGTGGTGGTACATAATTATAGCTCAGCACTTGGGAAGCTGAGGCAGGACAGTTGCCATAAGCTTGATGGCAGCCTGAGTTATGGAGAGGGTTCACTGTGAGTCTATATATGTAAACGTATGTATGTATGTATGTATGTATGTACGTATGTATGTTCACCAAACAAAAAAGAAAAAAAATAATCAATTTCAATTTTGTAAAACTAAACTAAAAGAACATTACTTTCTAGGCACTTCACAATGCTTTACAAAGTACTTTATTGTCTAAAGCATGTGCATTAAAACAGCAGATTTTTTTTTAATGTAAGTAAACCGCTAAAGAAAATCTGGGATTGGCATGGTGTAATAAACATGCCACCACTTCTGGCAATTTGGAGAAGGCGGGAGGAAGAAGGCCAGACTGAGCCTCATAGAAAATTCCAGACAAGCCTAAATTGTAAAATAAGCCCCTTTCTCCATAAAATTGAAAACAAATATATATTCTGCCTGAAAATCTCCAGCTATCACAAGAGCTTCTTGTTGCTTGATATTTTCATATTCAAGGTGTTGTGGAGTGTATTTATTTTCCTTTTGCATGTGAAAACATTTAAATTCTCCTCTTGATTTTTCTTTGTCTCTAACAGAGAAAGGTAAATACCAAACTAAGATATGGATCAATAGCACCAGATTACAACAAATGTTCACATTACGAGGAAAATACGACAATTTCAGGATCTTCTAATCATTTCTATCAAATTGATCCAGAAACTCTCTCCCTACATCTATGAATCAGAGGTGAGGGGTAAATGTTGACTAATTTGCCTCAGCAGGGCAGAACACTTACCTAATCATAATTTATAGTTTTGTTTACCTTTCTGTTGTGAAAGCTAATTACTTGTCTGAGTAAGAGTTTCTGCCCTATTAAGCCATTGGTGAGTGAAAACGCAATTTAAATTTTATGTGTACCTCCAATTCACATAAAAAGCTTTCCACCTCTCACTGGAGGGCCAGATACCTTCAGGGTCTTTGTCAACAGACAACCTTCAGAGAACTGAAGGGTAATTCTTCAGGTTAAAAGCATGGCCAGTAGACGTTTCAAAGGACACCAAAAAAAGCTAAGCCTCAAGTTTATTTCACTTGCAGGGACTTTATTGTATGATCTACACAGCAGATCATCATCCTTGCCATATTAATAGCTCCACTTCAAAGTGAATAAAGAAAATATATCCTTTCTGGATTGTCATCTGTAATTAAAATATCCCCCTTCCTACATCCTGGACTACCCTGATGTCAAACCAACACAGCATTCAAGATAAGAAACATGTTTAAGAAATAATAAGAAAGAATCAAAAGGCATAAGACATCTAAAGTGTTTGACTTCTGAGTCACTTCAAATAGGCCTGCTTGTACATTGGAGTAAGTGTGATATCTCAGACCCCAAGATAACAGACTCTTTTAGCAGCACCTTGGGTTAAGTCCTTTCCCAGTGTTTCTGTTTGGAGAAGACCAGTAGCAATAAGGCTACCTCCCAAAGAGAACGGACCTCTGTCAACTGTAGTTTCCTATTCTTTAACTGTATGCCATAAAAAATAACACATATGAGAGGATCAAACTATATTCAACAGGACTGCTTTTATTGTTTAATACATACATACATGCATAATATATATTGAGTTTTTTTAAAATAGAAAGGGAACTATAGACATGATGTGCTGATATTCAAAAACTATTTTAAAATTCTTATTTTTTAAATAGCAATGCAGCTAGTGAGTTGAGTTTCCTTTGTACATAGTGACAATCAAAAGAAACAGGCAATGTTTGCAGATGACTTACCAACCATAATGTAGTGAGTATAAGCACTCGGGGACTAGCTTTTACCTTAACAATGGCTGATGATTGTACATATATTATCTCCAGGCAGTATTTTATTTGTTTACTTATTTTTCTGCAATGTTGGGTTTAAACCTAGGTCTCTGGAATGCTAGTCAAGCACTGTACTACTGAGACACATAGCCAGCATCATTCTTAGACAGAATCACTTCAACTTTAGAGTGTTACAAGAACAACAACAAAAAAAAAAATCTTATTTATTAAAAATGCATTTACTTTTATTTCTTGTGTTGTGTGAGTGTTTGATTCCATGTATATATGTGCACAGTATGCGTGGTTGGTGTCCTCAGAGGCTAGAAGAGGATACCAGATTCCTTGGAAAGGAAGTTACAGGTAAAACGAGCTTCCATGAGGGTGCTGGGAACTGGCCCAGGTTCTCTGCAAACAACTTAACAGTGCTCTTAACCACATCTCTCCAGCCTTCTAAATTCTTATTTTTAAGAATATTTTTGTGGGAGCAGAGCGGTTTGGTCGTTGGTTGGAGGAAGGTCTTCCGTTCCACTCGCGGCGGTCCCAGCAAGGGCCTCAGACCTCGGCTTTGGGTGAAAGAAAATGGCCCAAACCAAGCAGACTGCTCGGAAGTCCACGGGTGGCAAAGCCTCCCCCTCCCCACCCCGCAAACAGCTGGCCACCAAGGCAGCCAGGAAAAGCGCGCCCTCTACCGGCGGGGTGAAGAAACCTCACCACTACAGGCCCGGGACCGTGGCTCTAAGAGAGATCCGTCCTTACCAGAAGTCGACTGAGCTGCTCATCCCGAAGCTGCCTTTCCAGAGGTTGGTGAGGGAGATCGCCCAGGACTTCAAAACCGACTTGAGGTTTCAGAGTGCAGCCATTGGTGCCCTTCAGGAGGCCAGTGAAGCGTACCTGATGGGGTTATTTGAAGATACCAATCTGTGCGCCATCCACGCCAAGAGAGTCACCATCATGCCCAAAGATATCCAGTTGGCCCGCCGGATACGGGGGGAGAGAGCTTAAGTCAAGGCGGTTTTTTATGGCATTTTGTAGTAAATTCTGTAAAATACTTTGGTTTAACTTGTGACTTTTTTTTGTAAGAAATTGTTTATAATATGTCGCATTTGTACTTAAGTCATTCCATCTTTCACTCAGGATGAATGGGAAGAGTGACTGTTCAGACCTCAGTGATGAGCACTGTGGCTCAGGAGTGACAAGTTGCTAATATGCAGAAGGGTTGGGTGATACTACTTGCTTCTCATGATGCATGTTTCTGTATGTTAATGACTTGTTGGGTAGCTATTAAGGTACTAGAATTGATAAATGTACAGGGTCCTTTTGCAATAAAACTGGTTATGACTTGATCGAAGTGTTTAACCATACATTACTGTGATAGAATGTGGGCTTTTTCAAAGGTTGAAGATACAAGTTTTAACCACAGTGTAACAGTTTCCTAAAAAAGAAAAAAGAAAGTAACCTGGCAGCTATAGAATACACTATGTGCATTTATAATAGCTATTTTATATATTGTAGTGTTGAACATTTTTAAATTAAATGTTTTACGTTCACAAGTGGTGGGGAGTCTTGTCATTAAGGTGTGTGTAATTTAGTCCAGTTGTTATTTCCTGACTGGACTGCATTTGTTAACAACATAGAAAAATGCTATGCTTATTAAACCTTGCATAAGTCCTCATTCTACCACATGTTAACTAACCCTCCAGCTGATGACATACACTAACGGGGATTTTATTTATAAGGGCTCTAGAGTAAAATAACAAGTTATTCACACCAGCTTCACCTGTTACTGGTCTAGTTAGTGCAGCTTCTCATTGTGTTTGGTCTTATACCTAGATTGAGTTTTATTTCTTTTTTTAATATTCAAGGAGAAAAACAGTACAAGGTTTGTTTTCTCCTTGTGGTGTTTAAACATGGGAATTTGGGTACAGCTTCAGCCACGGGAGCTGCCAATGAAGATGGGTTAGGTTATACCTGGGTATTGTCCTGGCAAAATCCCTTTTATAGAGATGGCCTTCAAGTGGTTTTAAAAAGTATCCTATTGAATTTTTTAGGTCAATTATGTATGTTGACTAAATTTATAAATAAACTTGTTTATTCAAAAAAAGAATATTTTTGTGTCTTTTGTGATTGTCCCTCAAAACATTAGTTCCACATAGTAGGTAGATAGCCATAAAATGTTAAAAAAAAAAAAAAGATGCAAAAATTCTAGTTCACCAGAAAACATTAATTTTGCAGAAGCTTAGTAACTCAGGTTATTTCAGTGACCTCCAGAGCTATTGTTCGTTGATATTCCTACAAACTAAAGTAATTGCTTATCAGTAAAGTGAAATATTTGCAAACACTTGAGTCTGTATTAAGTTTACGAGAAATTATAAATTCATTGAAGTCATACATGGTCATATAAAATACTATTTTAAGACAATGGCACTTAAAAAGCTTTAAATAATCAATCCTGCCAATTGGCAAAGGCTTGCCTTGCAAACACACCGATATGAATCTGATACCCAGTTCATGTAAAACAAAAGTCAGGTGTGGTGATGTGCACTTAAAATACCAGCACTGGCAAGTCAGAGACAGGCAGATCCCTAGGGATCTCTAGCCTGTCAGTCTTACCTACTCTGGGAGAGATGCTGTCTATAAAACAAGACAGACAGCACCTGAGAAATTATACATTGGTATGTTCTTCAACTTTCACACACACACATGCATGTGCACTCATATATATACACCTCCACACACAATAATATTTCATAGGCATGGAAAGGAAAAGTCACTCAGATTGAATGGTGTCTATCCCTGAAAGTCAACAAATACGTATGAAAAGAAAAGCTAATAACACACCAGCAGTGAGAGATGAAAACTTTACCTTTCTGATAAGAAATAGGGTAAGGATGCTCTCCTAGCTGTTTATATTTATTGAACATTGAAGGCAGAAGTCCTAAGCAACGCAATTTGTCAATATCTATATAGACATCAATATACCAGGCCCTCTTACATTACATGTGGAAAGGTAAGTGGCCATACCCACACATCAAATTACCCTGTAAATATTAGAAACCCATGCTTAATTTATCTCTGACCCTATTGTGCATAGATAGAAAGGTGGCCCATAGTCCATGAGAGAATTTTTGTTGCTTTATTTTTGCACTGTTCCCTTCACAGCCTTTCAAGATACATGCCCCAACAATGTAAATAACGTAAATGGAATAATCATTTTAAAAATGATTTAAAGTTTTGTTTTGAGTAAACATCTTTTACGATATTTTTAAAAACAATGACAGCAAACTTTTCCAATTGTGCAAATACCTTTTGTAAAGATAAATGCTGAAATTCTAGTTAGACAGAATTCAGTCAAGTGCTCCAAGATCTCCGTGATTGCCAGCTGGGATATAACAGACAGCATAACGATCTTTTACACCTGCTGCTATGAAAGCGGTCATCAGGGGACACTGGAAATCCAAATGTAGGAGGAAAACATCATTTTTATTAAAAAAAAAAACATTCTTACAGAAAAAAATTAGTGATAATTTATGAGCAACCCCATTAACAAGAAATATTCACAGTCCATTGATGCATACAAATGCCTTGTACAAGATTCCTTTACTTTCTTTAGAGTCTAAATTCCCTGAAGACCCTAAAAGGGAGGAAAGATTTATAAATAACTTAGAAACATAGGCAGGTTATATTTGATTCAGAAATTTAATGTTTAGCACTCTAAGTAGGTCACAACTATTTCTGGCATCTACATAATTTTAAAGAATGAAAAAAAAGTAAAATCAGCAAGCTTCATAGTTATATTTAAATAATGGGCTTCAGCTAATGTTCATGTCATTATTATATCGAATTGTTCACAATCGTCTTTTCTGTTTTCCTTTTTATTTAGTCATTCTATAGTGGGGGTCTTAGCACTTTAGAGTGTTAGACCAGCCAATTTTACAATGTGAATTTGTGTCCCGTAATAAAATCATTTGAAAGGGCAGTAAGAGTGGGCAAGAGAAGATAATGCATTCATAATAAAGTATATACAAATATGAAGTTGATAAAAAGTTAAGTGTAAAAGGAACATATTTCAAATCGGCCAATGAAGTCTATAGGCTTGCTTTCTTTGGAGATAAAAATTATGATTAGTGAAACAAAACAATAAACGCCAGAACCGTATCTGAAACAGAGCTGATCATTGTTAGAGATTTGCTAGTGAACTGGAGTACTGCAGTGGAAAGCAATCCATGCTGTGCACACTACTTCATCCACTGTGCAGGAAGTAATATGTATGCCCAGTACCTTGCTTTGGTTAATGACAGGGAACTGTTAAACACTTAAATCCAGGAAGAGAGCAGTGTTTGGAATGGTAGTCCCAAAGCAACCCGGAGGAGTAGAAAAGAAGTCTTCAGACTTTGTGCAGTCTAAACCCAGCACTTACTCTTCAATGCTTTCTCGAAGTTATTTCAAAAGTCTTTGCTGTGGAATTAAAGGAGGCTTGAAATAATGTTGAAGGAGAAAGATTGCAACATTGAAGTTTGGATATCTCCATTCTAAGTCATCAGTGTATTGACGCAGACAGTATTGCCCTAATTAGAAAATCTTTCCTCCTCCCCCCCTTTATTTATTTATTTTTCAACATCCAAAGCTTTTTAATAACAAATCCAAGGTTACTTTTTGTAGCTTCATCTTAATTCCCTGTAAAATTTAAGTTGAAATGCCCACCAATAGGGATGGCTAAGCTCAAGCACAACTTCCACAAACATGCATATTTTGCTTTATACGCATGTAACCTCATAACAGGTCTTTGTGACCACTGGAATTTCTTTAATACAACTTCACACCATAATGCTGGTAAATGCTTGATACACGCAAGCTTTTTTCCTGCCCCCCCAAAACAAATATATATAATAATAATAATGATAGATTCCAAGGTCACTGCCACTAAATCAATGGAAATTGATCAAGAATGTTGGCAAATTACTTTTAAAATATTCTACTATGTAAGAACACATCCTAAATTATGCTGCATAAATATCACCAAACTGAGGATCTATATATAGACACCCCTGCTATCCTGGGTGCTTAAACTTTGAATGCTATAAAAACCTACAGAGACTAGCTAAATCCATAAGAAACCCATGCCATAAAGCAAACAGAGAGTGCAGTTTTGTAATATTTGCTAGCAGATAATCATGATCAGTGAGTCTCAACACTGCACAGATTGCTCCATTTTAATAAGAATCTATAATTAACTCCTAATCAAAATGTCTAAAGTCATCATCTCTATTCTACTTGGTGAATTCTTTTCTACTATACCGATGGCCAGCTTTCTAGTCTGTAGTTTCTGGTGCTTGGCCCTTTCTATCTGTTCTTGATGGATTTTTCCTCAGCTGAAACTCATTACTGTTTGTAGAAAGCCATTAGTTTTCATAAATTGATTCTGTGAAGATTTACTTTCCCTCATAAGCTCTGTAAATGTGGGCTGTCACTTTTACTTCCTTCCCCCCCCCAAGAAAACCATAGTGGAAACTACTATAATTGCCCTTTAATTGAAAAACTCCCTTTCAAAGCTGAGTGTGGTGTTGGTGCATGCCTGTAAGCCAAGCACTTAGCAGACTGGGACAGCTCAAATGCCAGCTTAGGTCATAAAAGATATTCTGACTCCATCATGGGGGAAACAGTTTCCCTTTCTAGTCAGTGTCTAGATGATAGCTAGTCACCCATTGCCCAGTACCGGGAATCCACTTGTATTGAACACTGAATATTCCCTCAGCTGCATCAGTTGCACACTGTGAGGATATATGTTGAAATTACTTGTCAACGCATTGTTTTAGAATCTTACTAACAAGTTGAGGAAATGTTTAGGTGACTCTTATTTGGATTGCTCAGCTTGTCATTTAACACCAATTAAATGTAGATCACTACACTAATTTCAAATGAGAAGTCTAGAAAAGAAAAGCTGTTTCATATGAGACTTATTAATGCTATAATATGTATAAAACAATTGCTATGCATATTTCTCAATGATTTTTATTTTAAATATTATTTTTTCACAATGAAATTTCAGGAGATGCCAGTCCCTACAAAAAGTAGCATTCAGGACAGGGACAGTGTTTTCAGCTTAGGGTCTTGCAAGATATAAGACTTGGGCAAGGCTGCATCTAGTGACTTTGAATACATTGCTTAGGTTCTCTGTGTAACTCATGCCATTGCAGCTGTAGAATGGAAACTCTGCTTTCTCGATTACACCCTTGGTTCTTTCCTCAATGATCTTCCCCAACATGAGTTCTGATTTCTTCAAGCCAACAGAGTGCCTCATATATCTCATTAGGTACACCTTACCAAATGCAATCACAGAACGTGT